TCTCTTCTCTTCTCTCGATGAAAGCGAAAGTAAGCATAGGCACATGGGATGTCCACACAATGTTTGAAGCTGCCTAGCAAGGTGGCCGAGATTGCAAAAGAGTGAGGAGGTATAGCATAGAAGTGCTGGGAATCTGCTAGAGTAGATAAGATGGAAGTGGAATCTCCAAACCGTCACTGGAGAGTCAATAATCTACTCCGACGACAATCACGAGCACACTGAGTTTTCGAGTGGATATCATGATGTCCCCAACAACGTCGAAAGCTCTCTCTCTCACACACACACACAGTGCGAACCAATCTCCTCCTCCACGATCAGGATCATCACAGCAAGATGGAATCAACTCAAAAGGAAGGAAGGAAGGAAGGAAGGAAGGAAGGTCACAATCATACAATGCTACGCTACACTATGCACCTACAAATAATGCAGATGAAGAGAAGAAGGAGGAATTCTGAAGACAACTGCGAGCACTACTAGACAAAACTCCACCCCAGTTCCCCAGTTGGCGACGGTGACATCGAAATTCTAATGGGTGGGCGACATGAATGCTGCCAATCTGGGATCGGACAACACAGGAGGAGAACTAACTGATCATGGATCTAGAAGCACTCGGTGAATTGATGAATGAGAATGGAGAACCGTTTGCAGACTTCTCTGCATTCATCGATTTGTGATTGGAGGCGAGGCAGTGTGTGCAAACACAAACATATTCACAAGTCAGTGACATAGATTTGACTTCACCAGACACCAGGACACACTGAAAATCAGATAGACTTCATCTCAATGTGAAGGAAGTGGAGACGCAGTCTACTGGACGCGAGACGAGATCAAGAAGGGGAGCAGATGTAGGTGGTTCGCACCACTCACTTCACTATCTAGTACAAGGAACCTGCATTGAAAATCAAGTTGAAAGTCCTCGAAGAAGAAGCTGGTGATGATTGATCACAGTTCAAGTTGAACAACCACCCAGAACAGAAACTGAACTCAACTGAACTGAAGGACGAAACCACAAAGCACATCTTCACGTCAGTCAGTCAGTCAGTGAGTCTTCAGGAAAAAGGGGGAAATATTGAGCAACATCCCTGAAGGAATGGGTGTGGAAGAACAGTGGAACTCTTTGAAAGCTATGTGGAGGAAAAGCTGCATGACGATGTCGGGAAGGAAGAGGAAGCAAGACAGTAAAGTACAGGTCAGGTCAGGACCGGAGAGGAGAAGACAGGAGAGGGGAGGATAGGAAAGGGCAGGGCAAGGCAGGGCAGGGCAGTACAAGGAATAGATGACGATAGAGACATGGAAGCTGATAAAGGATAGAGAGGAGGAGGAAGATGGTGAAGCAGAAGATGAACCAGTGCAGTGCAGTGCAGGGATGAACAAGGAAAAGAGGAAGTGAATACAACCTACAGAACACTGGACAACGAAGTGAAGAGGAGTGCACGCAAAGACAAAAAACACTTCTACGACACATTGGCAAGTGAAGCAGAACAGGCTGCAGGTAGGAGAGATAGAGACCTGACAACACTATATCAGATAACCAGGTTACTATCTGGGAGGGAAGAGATCAACACAGCACAGACGAAGTCAATTGAAGATAGTGAAGGGAAGCTAGTAAGCAAAGAGGAGAAAGAAAGGAAACGATGGGCTGAGCACTTCAAGAGACTCTTGAACAGACCACCACCAACACCAGCACCAACAACACCAACAAAAACTACAACTGGAACTGCAACTCGTCCAGAAATACCACCACCAGCCCTGCCACAGAATTATCAGTGAACACAAACACTCCGACAAAGGCAGAAGTGAAGTCGCGAAGGCTATCAAGTTGCTGAAATCAGGGAACGCAGCAGGACCAGATGAAATGCCACACAGAAGCAATGAAAACAGACACAGAGACCACAGCGGACATGCTCACACCACTATTGCAGAAGGTTTGGAAGGAAGGAAGGAGGGAGGGAGGGAGGGAAGCAAAGCTACCTGCCAGTTGATGGGAAGAATGGCTACCTTGTCAAACTGGCAAACAACGTAAACCTAAATCCTTGAGAGAAATGACGAGGAATCATGCTCCTGTCCATCCCGCGTCATCCTGAAGAGAGTAAAAATGCTCTGCATTCAAAACTACGACTGGAACAGGCTGGCTGGCTGGCTGGCTGGCTGGCTGGCTGGCTGGCTGGCTGGCTGGCTGGCTGGCTGGCTGGCTGGCTGGCTGGCTGGCTGGCTGGCTGGCTGGCTGGCTGGCTGGCTGGCTGGCTGGCTGGCTGGCTGGCTGGCTGGCTGGCTGGCTGGCTGGCTGGCTGGCTGGCTGGCTGGCTGGCTGGCTGGCTGACTACAGGAGAAACAAATCATGCTTAGATCAACTTGCAACACTACGCTTCACATCATCATAGAACACAGCATAGAATGGCAGTCGACTCAACTCAACTCAACCTCAACTTCATCGACTTTGAAAGGCCTTCGACAGCATCGATAGAGAAGTAAATTTGGAGATTGCTTCAACACTAAGGAGTGCAAAGGAAAACATTCAACATCTATGTGCCACATGACGACGCCACACGCCGAGTGATTCACAATGGAAAGCTCAGTGATACCCTTGAAATGAAGATGTGAGTAAGACAAGGTTGCCGCCTACTATCAACTATGATCTTCCTGGTTGTGGTCGACTGTACTGGACTGGATCATGTAACAGACAACTGTGAGAAAGAAGATAGGCATACGCTGGCTGGACCGATGAAAAGACCCAGGAGAAGATTTGGATTTCACCGACGATGATGATTTATGTCTAATGTGTTGTCACACAAACTCGAAGATCTACAGGCGAAAACTAACAAGTTGGCAGAAGAGGTGAAGTGAAGTGAAGTGAGGTGAGGTGAGATGAGTTGAGGTGAGGCAGCAAAGGAAGACGGGACTTCCTACAGGTGAACGTGGAGTAAAACGATAGAGGTGGTGAAGATTTTCAACTAACAACTGCAGAACAACAACAACAACAACAACAACAAGCACCAATCAGCATCAACGAGATAAATCTGAGGGAAGTCGTCTCTTTCACCCACCTAGACAGAGTGCATCGTCTCAACTACAGGCGGCGGCATTAGCTGCACAGATGAGGTTGTCAAAGCCAGGGTCGGAAAGACAGTAAGTCAGTGTGGAGACCTATTTCACTCAGCATAAGGCGTGAACAAGATCCGGATTTTCAACACTAATTCAGTCAAGTCAGTGCTTCCATGTGATGGTTGACAGACTTAGCGGCGCGTTACGAAAAGCATTTCCAACTAGCTACAGACAGACATCACACCACATCACATCACACCAACAGCTGCCACCCACGCTCACTTGATGGTGATGATCAGATGACCAGAATAATAAGGATAAGCAACAAAGAACTCTGGCAGGACAACGAACCAACCGAGAACCCATAGCCCAACAAATATGCAGTGGAAGAAAGTGGAGATGGATTGGATTGGGTATGCAGTGGAAAGACCATTTGGGGACATCATGCTCCAGGTCAGGCCCTTGAGTGGAACCCACATGGGAAACGATGAGTTGGGCGTCCGAGCTGAGGGTGATATGGAGGAGATCGTGTGAGGAAGAAATGAAAGCTTTTGGGCAGTC